TGGCGGGGTGGGGGGGTGTGGGTATCGGTCTGTGCCAGAACTGGAATATGACAGGTATGCTGTGGAGGGAGGGGTGTCTTGAAATATGTTTTAAACCACATTATCTGAAGTTCAAAGCCTTAAAGTGATGTTAATACTGCTAAATAAAAGGTTTTATGTCCTAAATAGCTTGTTACCACTTCATCTAATGAATTCTGCAGTCTTCCTGGTGCCTTCTTCCGCACTGATTTGTTAGCCCATGTGTACAGACTAGAATCGTTGTAGATCCACAGATGATTACATTTACATGTTTATTTAAGCTGGAAGTGCTTATTTTGAATTCTAAATGGCATTAGTTGACTTTGATAGTTAGTTTTAGTTGTTTGTTTTGCACTGGAAGACGTGATATTAAACATTTGTTAGGGTATAGTTGTAGTCATTTGTTCTGAAGCATGTTATGTCAGTGTATTATATAGCTACATTTAGTTTTTCTTTCAAGAAGCCAACACCTACGATATTCTCCACTGGCTAGCATTGAACCATATAGTGGGTAAGAGGAGATGAATGGTCCAGAATGAGAAATAAGGTGGATGGTTTGAATAGAAAGCACAAACCTTCAAAAGGAATGAAGGTGACAGAAGATCTACTAGTGAAGGAATACCAAATAGCAACAGAGGATGCAGCAGACAATTGATCATATAAATGGCGGCAGAGTAAAAAGTTTCAGGTCGTATTGAGCCATCATTTAAAAGTGGAAATTGCATCCAGTTCTAATAAACAACAAAAAAGTGGGGAAAGAGGAAGGAGATCAGGTTTTAGAAGGGGAAATGAGGGCGGAAGCACAGAGGATGCGCTACCATGAGAGGCCAAAAAAAGGGAGAGGGCTCCACCCCCCCAAAACTTTTCCATGTTAATTAGGTAATATAAAACTAGCAAGAACTCAAGACAGCAAAAACAAAAGCTGGGTGAAAAGACGGTGGAAAAATAGCACACTCTAATCAGTTAGAAGTGATTAGATCCACACTTTACCGCGTGAGTATGCTGAGAGGAAGAACTAGCAAATAACAGATGCATTATTGATGTGACATATTAGCATGTTAATGCTTTATCTGCTGTTTCATTGTTCCATCACAGGTAAAATTAACCTAATGAATCTTTCGCACAGTTTTGTGCAGAGACAAGAAAATCCAGGGCACAGTTCAGAACTATTCTCTGTGTTACCACATGTTTGGAGTGTCACTTCACTTGGCAGCATCTTCATCAGTTTTACTATATAGTTTATCCAAGAACATTCCATCTGTGTGTAGAATCTGGAAAAATGCTGCAAAATTTTAATCACCTCCTTTTTTACATTATCATAGAGCATCTGGCAGAATTAACATGAATGTGGTTTTGCGGCATTAACTGTGACACTGGATTTTCTGGTCGGGACTTAATTTCTGTTCTTTTGTGAAACTCAAAATAGTTTCAGTATTAAAAATGTTGAAAACTAGTGTGTGTATCATGTGAGGTTTTAATATTCTCAGCTTTTTTTAGATTTAGCTGTAATATTAGTCCTGAGATCAAAAGCCCATGTTAGTCTCAGTCATAAGCCCTTTTCAGACATGCACTGGAACCCTGAAATTCAGGCTGTGAGCTGCTTCTTGTCTTCATCATTGGCAAAAAAGTCATTATTAGTCATATTTTGCCACATTTGCCATATTTTGTTAAAGAAACTGAAACTGATTGAGAGTGTATGCCTGTACAGTGTGTATACATAAGTGAAAGAAGTTCATGTTGACCCTGCAGTTACAACCAATTTGCTGTGATCACAGTGACAAGTGTCTCCATATGGATATTTAGTAATTAGCTAAGAGGAGATGGAGAAAGGTTGGAGTTGGTGGAGCATCAGAGGACCTGTCAGAGAGACCCACTCGTCTTAACTCGCCCCCGGCCACCTGCCCCCCAGAATCTGTCTGGAGGCTTGTCTGCCCTCCAGGTCCCCATCCTCACACTCGGCTGCTCCAGTTAATTGAAGCCACTTGAGATCAGTCAGAGGAACTGGATCTGCAGCCTTTAGCAGACCACAGCACCCACCTGACCTGCCAGTCAACACTTTCAACTGCCTGCCACTCACAACCACATCCCAACATTGATTCCAGATAGTTGCGTAGTATACACCCAAACCTACCTCACCAGGTCCATTCCAGTTGTCTAAAACAGGTTGCATTTGGTCCAGTCAGTTTTGAACTCAGTTTAAACCCTTGTGCTTTTAGTTTCTTCATTCCCTTTCAGGAAACTGGGAGATGTGGAGCTCAAGTGAACTGCAAGGTATTTTGTTAGTAGTTAGAGGTTCATCTATGAAAGTGACCCTGAAATGTAGTTTTATGGCTGCTGTCGTATAATACAGTACATATGCTTGAAAAGTCAAGCACAGCAGAATGAACCAAAGGGCACAGGTGCTCTTAAGATGCATTGAAATAATTGTGATACAAGGCTTTTTTCAAAGTTTTTGGGACATTTTATTTAGCAAACAGTTTCAAGAATGCAGACAGGAAGCGGAAAAAGAGAGAGGGTATGACAGACAACAGCGGTCCCCAGCCGGAACTGTGGTCGTTGCATTTATGTGGCATGCACTTTAACTGTGCTGCTTCCAGGATGCTTCAAATGGCACATACACTGAAGGAAGCGCACAAGAAGTGGTAAAGCTCACTGCAAGTAAAGAACCAAGACTGCAAGCCCACAAGGCTCAGCTGACATGATGTGAATTGCATTTGGATTAGTTTGGTTTAATTTGCCTCACCCATGTCTTTTGTTGATCAGTTATGGGTGAATTGAAAATTGTCATACAAGCAACAAAGAAACAGCTTGTCCCCTGATATAGACCAAAACAAGATTTGCAAAGGCCATAAAGGTATTAACAGTGAAGAATTGTTTTTTGGCCAGAGATTGAAGTTAAATGCATGACCAGAAAGTCCTTATACCTTGGTTGTCTGTCAGTTCCTTACCAAGTAGAGTACTGTAAAAGGGGAATTTTGATTAGACATGGGCAGATTTGGGCAACTGAAACTACTCGGTTAGGTTGAGGAAAAGGTGGCGGTCACATTTAAAAGAAATCAAGTAGGTCCCACGCTTTGCTGCTGAAAGAGGACATGTTTATATTCAGTTATTCAGAGGTTGTTTCTGAGACAGAACATAAATTTATGTAAGAACTTGAACAAACCAATGGTGTCATTTTATGGCAAGAACGTCTCCCAGGACAGTTCTCCTGGAAATTACAAGTGGCTCAGAGTGGCACATCATCAGGGAAGATGCTATACTGAAAGTCCAGCAGGTGATGAATGTCACTGCAGCACCCTGCTGTCCTAAGAGGTAAAACTTGCTGATCTGACATCCTGCAGGAGTTCCTCAGTGATAAATACTTTACTCTGAAATGCTGTTCGCTTCTGTTGGTTCTGCAGTGCTGCTTCCCATAACACCGAACACCGGGAATGTGTGAAGTAGAACCACAGGGAATTTTGCGACAACCCGCTCATTTAAAATGAGAAGTGGAGCTTGTGCATTGTTTTAAATGCCAGGCTTCTCCTCATTTGGTGTGCTTTCGTGTGCAAGCCTTTAGTTGTAGCTCAGTCAGCTGATATTTATTGCTCAGCCATTACATACTCTGCTGCTGCTGCTTTAGTATAGCTTTGGTTGTTACCAGCATGAGTATGAGCAGACAGATGTGACAGCTGGCCAGCCATATGTGACAAGCCTCTTAGATCTTTACACCTTAATTATTTCTTCTCTTGGGACCAGTATTGACATTTTGGGTCTTAACATTCAGACCTTATAAACTGCCAGCCTCCAGTTGGCATTATCTGTCTCTTGGCAACCTCCAAGCAGACAGAGAAAGGTGCTTGATAACTCCTCATGGCTAAATGTGTGCCTGTCAGCTGTTGTGAAATAGGTGCTTTCAAATGTGCATCAGTGTTATAAAAATCATTTTCGGTATACAGTTCACTGTATATTGAGAAATATCTCAGTGAGACCTTTCTTTTATTTGTTCTTAATGAAGTTCGAGGGATTTTTATTTCTTCATTTTGAGAAACCCTTAGAGATTCACTGTGATTATAGGCTATGCAATTAAAATCGACTCTGTGACCGGAAGTAGAAGTTATTATTTTAAACACTGTGTCTGTACATTTTCACCATAATATTCGCACAGCTCCAATAATCTTATTTATCACATTGCGTAAGTGCTACTCACAGGGGTGAAGGCAGCTCTGTTATTCTGTCTCTGAATCTTGTCTCTCAGTTCCCCTGTCTGTCTCTCTCACCTGGGTCATCACACACCTTCTCATTTCTCTTGTTATCCCCGGTTCTAATTTAAGTTGCTGCAGCAACCCTGTGGTTCCCTCCACTTATGCCTTCTCCTTTGTCTCTCTGAGCTCCTTATTAAGTGTGACAGAGCTGGTTAACCATTGTTTTATTTATATTTTTTCCTCTGGGCTACTTTTCAAGCGACCACACGTCTTGACTCTTGACTAAGTCTGCTTTGCCTTTTTTCCAAACTGTATCTTTCCTTCATTTTATTTCTTGCTTACTGGTTTAATTTCTTTCTGGCTTGCTTCCTTATCTATCCTCCTTTCTTGTTTGGTTTCAGCCAGACTGTTTTTTTATGACACCACAGACCGCCCTTGTTAGCTATCACTGGTCACTCAAGGACACCAGGTGGACAGCCACTGCTTATCTAGTGGAACACTTGGATGCAGATTGGTTTCCTATGGGTGTCTTGTGTGATTTGCTTGCTTTTAAGCAGATCAAGTTTAAATGGAGTTCAGCCAAACTCTTGTTTTGTAAAATTTCAGTGAAACACACAATGGATGAGAATACACATTTGTGGCAT